TTGCATCGGTACACGGCTCCTGGGTGGTCTTTGGGGACCCCGAATTCTGGGCATAACAGCATCATATTCATCATCAAAAGAACATATCAGTATCTATCTTGAAGTACAATGCTGTCTGTGATAGGATAATACTCATACACCTACAAAGAAGACTAGTTAATACCACACTTATTCACATTTTTGTACCAACCACTAAAGCCTAGTGAAACTGAAAAAGTCTACCAAATTCTTCAGTCTGAAGTTGATCAAACATGAAATCAATATGTATTGATAATTACTAGTGAGTGAAATGCAAAGGTTGGAAACAAAGAGGAAGGATCAGTAGTTGGAAGATATGGCCTTAGTGATAGAAACAATACTGGAGATCGCATGGTTGAATTTTGCAAGACAAATGACTTCTTCATTGGAATACCTTTTAAACGACATAAAAGATGACTATACACATGGACTTCATCATATGGAATACACAGAAATCAAACTGACTACATCTGTGGAAAAGCTCCATGTAATCAATCAAAACAATAGCAGGGACAGACTTTGGAACAGCCTATCAATTGCTCATATGCAAGTTCAGGCTAAAACTGAAAAATATTAAAACAAGTCCACAAGAGTCAAAATATGAACATAAAGACTTCCCACCTGAATTTAGAGATCATTTGAAGAACAGATTTGATGCATTAGACACTAAAGACTGAAGACCAGAAGAGTTGTAGAACAACATCAAGAACATCATACAGGAAGAAAGCAAAAAGGTCATTAAGAAGATAAGAAAGAATGAAAAGGCCAAAATGGAAGTCAGAAGAGATTCTGAAACTTGAACTACAGTGTAGAGATGCTAAAGCAAATGGAAAAATGAGAAGAATAGAAAACTTCTAAGGGCATCTCAAGAAGACAAAGTCAACTATTATAACGAAATGTGCAAAGATCTGGAATGAGAAAACCTGAACAGAAGAACAGTCAACATTTTTCAAGCTGAGAAAGCTGAAGAAAAATTCAAGCCTCGACTTCCAGTATTGAAGGATGCAGAAAGCATCAAAATAAGATGGAAGGAATACATGCAGGGTCACTGTACCAAAAAGACATGGTTGATGTTCAACTATTTCAATAGGTAGCATATGATCAAGAGCCAATGATCCTGAAAGAAGAAGTCCAAGGTACGTTGAAGGCACTGACAAAGAACAAGGCATCAGGAACTGTGGACTACAAATTGAAATCTTTCAACAAACTGATGTGGCACTGGAGGCACTCACTCATCTATACCTGACCCAGGTCATGGTATTCTCAATAACCTCTTATACATGTAAAATTTGTAGAAGAATTGACGCATTTGAGTTATGGTGTCAGAGGAGAATATTAAAAGTACCATGGACTGTCAAAAGAGCAAACTAATCTGTTCTTGAATAAATACAGTCAGAATGCTCCTTGGAAGCCAGGATGGCCAGACTTCCTCTCTCATACGTGGGAGGGATCAATCCCTGAAGAAGGATCTTGTGTTTGGTAAAGTGGAGGATTGGTGAAAAAAAAGATGACCGCACAATGGGATGGACTGACACAGTGACCGCAGTAATGGGCTCCAATGTGGCAACGAGTGTGAGGTTAGCACAGACTGGGCTGTGTTTCATTCTGTTGTACCTGGGGTGGTTGCTATGAATCAGTATCTATTCAATGGCACCTAACAACAACAATGAGTAAAATAAATCAGTTACAAAATGGCGAATATTGTATGACCTCACTGATGGGAAATGCCTAGACAAGTCAAATATATAGAGACCAAAGTTTATTAGTGGTTACCAGGGGTTTGCATATGAGCATAGTCTGTCCCTGGCCTTTGTTTTGGCTGATGGTATGAAACTTTCCCTCCATCTCTTCCCATGTTTGTAGCCAATTTAATTCCTGTCTTTTCTAGCTGGCATATGGTGGTGGTGGCTGTGTGCCGTGGAGTTGGTTCCTACTCATAGCGACCCTGTAACAGGGTTTCTGAGGCTGTAAATCTTTACAGGAGCAGAATGCCTCATCTTTCTCCTACGGAACAGGTGGTAGTTTCGAACTGCTGACCTTGCAGTTCACAGCCTGATTCGTAATTACTACGCTACCAGAGCTTCTTCCTTTTATGTTGTTTTAAAAAGACATTTGCAATGAGTAAATCAGTGGTCTTTAAAAATTCTATCACTCAATTTCCAGCCTCACTTCTATCAAACCCATCTTTTCCTACTTCTGATCTTTCTTTTTTCCAACCTTTACTTTCCAGTCACTAGTAGTTATCAATACACCTTGATGACATGTTTGACCAGTTTCATACTGAGGAAGTTGGTAGAATTCTTGAACTTCATCATTACTGTCTTTAGTTATTGGTACATAAATTTGAATAATAGATCTTGAATTCACCAGGAATTGAAGGAATACAAATTGAAATCTTTTAACAAACTGATGTAGCACTAAAAGTGCTCACTCATCTATGCCAAGAAATTTGGAAGACAGTTAGCCAACCAATCGAAGGAGGTAAATATTTGTGCCCATCCCAGAGAAGTGACCCAACCAAATGTAGAAGTCATCAAACAACATAATAAATATCCCATGCAAGTAAAATTTTGCAGAAGGTTCAAAAACAGATCCAATAGTACATTGACAGAAGTACCAGAAATGAAAGCCAAGAGTCAGAAGAGGACATGGAACTAGGGACATCATTTTGCTGACGTCAAACAGATCTTGCCTTAGAGCAGAGAATACCAGAAAGATATTTACTTTTAATTTGTGTATTGTGCAAATGCTTTTACTGTGTGGATCATGACAAATTGTAGATAACCTTGCAAATAATGAGTATTCCAAAACACTTCCTTGTGCTTATGAGAAACCAGTACATAGACCAAGAGGACATTATTAGAATAGAACAAGGTTTAAAATCAGGAATGGTATGCCCAAGGGTCATATTATTTCACCATACTTATCCAGTCTGCATGAT